TACAATAGTAAGAAAACTTATATAGCGCAATCTATCTCTCTAACATTCTAAAAAAACTTTAAAATATATGTATTTTTTAAAACAAAATAAAACAAGTGTTACTTTCTTTTGTTACAAACAAAATAGTTATTTTGAAAATAATATATTATATTTATTTATAACATATTTAATTTGCATGCAATTTAATAAAAAAATTAAAAAAAACTGAAATGTTTTTTAAATCATCGCAAGAAAAAATGAAAATCTTTAAAAATAATCTGAAAGAAGTTTCTTTTATTTTAATCATGTCATCAAAATGATGTATCATCCACGTTACTTTATTTAAGTCAAATAAGCAACAAAACGTTAGAGTTAGACCGATTTAAAAGATAACAAATTACTCATTGCTATAATGAGTAGATTTTTAAAAATATCATGCTTTAATAAAAATTAATTTAAAAATGCATTGATGTAATAAAGAAAAATGAAAACACAACGATATAATAAAGAAATTTATTAAAATAGATTAGTATTTAATGAATTTAACACAAACCCTTGACTGATATTTTTTTTTGATTAACCTAGATATCCAAATTCCAACCCGCTATGCGAGCCGACTAATCCTAAGACGACCACCTGCTTTGCAGATAACCCGGAGTCAGCGTATTTGAACCTCCATGGCCATAAGGGGATTTTTATTCCTCATTGAATTTGAACCTGAGACCTCCTGATACTTTTAACTTTTTGAACTAAGATATTATTTATATATAGAAATGTAATGCTCTTTGTAAAAATAATTATATTTTGAATCATATGATCACTACAACAATATGAATGTATTTATATAAGTTGTGGTCTTGTTGTAATAATATGCAATGCATTCTCATACATCTTTCTTCTTCTTTATTTCATTTGGATTTTGGCTTAAATTCTCAAATTAGATATAAACGATTATGTAAAAACCCTTACCCGATTGCCAAACAAAATCAGGTAAGAAAAATACGTTATTAGTATTGATATCTTACCCAATCATATATATATATAACAACAACCGGGTATGTTTATATAATCTTAATTTGTTATAGCCACCAGGTCAAAATATGAACTTACTACGTTATAACAACCATGTAAGACACACACACACACACACATACAATTTGCGTACCCGCGCAATATGTCGGGAGCCATAAATTTTAACGGTTTTGAAGTTTCACTGGTTTTATTAGAGAAGATTTAACGATGATACAAGTTACAGTTGGTCTTTACATATTAATACAATTTGAATAAATAAGAGTTATGGTTCCAATTACAGTTTATCGATGAAAAAATTGTATGACAATTTAAAATATAATATATTTAAAATCCAACATATATAAACGACTCCACAAATGTGTTCGATTTACACCAAAAGCAAAGAATCAAGAGATCGAGAGTGAGACCGAGAGTTCTAGAACAATTGAATGAGAGATGAATGAGAGAACTTTTAATAACTCATAGTGAATATCAATTTGAATCTCACATTGGAGGAAGGGGAGCAGACATAGAGATATGAGAGGGTGAAGGCATGAGTGAAAGGTGTCAAAAATATCTTAGAAACATGAAAAGAAAAGATAATAATGTGCATTGGTAACTTGTAATATATGTTATTCTAATTATAAATTAAAAGATTTTAAGACCGAATGCATAAAGTAGTAGTATTTAATACATTATAAGTTGTTTTTAAGACTTTTAAGACTTTGTACATAAATGTATAGTACTTTGTGTATTAATGTATAGTACTTTGTGTATTAAAAATTGTTTTTAAAACTTTTGATAAATCTGGTTTATAAGTTAGTATATATATATATATATATATAGGCGAATGAGAGTTAAAGTGAGAAAATTAAGAAAAAAATTGTATCTTTAATCATATTTAATCTCAAATTCACTCATGAACCGTGTTTGATACACGGATTGATCCCTTGCATATCTTGGTGCATGTTATTCTAATGTACACCTAAGAGTAAATATCTCATCTTATGTTTCTCATCTTAACCCTCCTTAATATAATCGCGTGGAATATCATATTCTATAATAGTGTTTCATATAATTTCAATCAAACTACTTATCATAAATTATGACTAAGAATAATTAAAACAAAAAGAGAAAAAGTTTGAGTTGTTCAAGTAGACCAAATATGCATAGTAAGGTAGTTGTTTACCCAAAACACCCCACATAATTAAACAGCTCCCCCATTCATCTCAGCAACTCCATTGTGTACATATATATATATATATATATACAATATATATATATATATATATTGTATGTATATATATGCCCATATGTACACACTACCTCATCATCTAAACACACATCTTCCTTTGTCATCTAAACAGAAACAACATCCAGATGGCCATATCCACTTCTGCCATTTTCAAAACCACAATTTGCATCTTATTTCTAACCCGTTCTGTACAATCTTCCTATGGGACTCGAATCCTCATAGATACCACAAACGACCTGCCACCTGCACTCGACGATCCACTTCCAACCAATCAACCCGGTACCACTGGTTCAATCGGCGAGATTGACACCCCTCATGAAGATCCAACGGCTTCGCTACCAAGTGGTCAAATCCCCGCCACGGTGGCACCAGCACCAGTGGTGTCCCCAGCTGTCCCTTTACCGGCTACACCTATCATCAAAACACCCGCCACCAATGTGGCACCAGTGGCCGGTGCTACACAGGCCGGAGGGACAGGTGCTATAGGTGCTACACCAGCTGGAGGGGCGGGTGCTATAGGTGCTACACCAGCTGGAGGGGCGGGTGCTGCAGGTGCTACTAAGGCTGGAGGATCGGGTGCTGGTGTCGGTGCTGTTGCAACCGGTGGCGGTGCGGTTGCAGCTGGTGCGGGACACCCCACGTTGAGTTTCTTCATGCACGATGTTCTAGGAGGATCTCAGTCTACAAGCAGGGTCGTTACAGGAATTGTAGCCAGTTCTAGTGCTAACGTTGTTCCCTTCTCTACACCCAACAGCCAAGTTTTCCCAATCACCGGCGGGGTCCCGTTAAACGACATCAACGGTATAGTCAACAACAATAACCTCCCATACTTGGCCGGTTTTAACGGTAACAACCCCAACAATCCAAACGCCAACACCGTCCTTCAAAACACCGGGAACAACAACGTCGGCAACGGCGGAAACAACCTACCATTCGTCGCAGCCGGTCAACTTCCGGCAGGGATAACACTCCAACAACTCATGTTCGGGTCAATCACCGTTATCGACAACGAAATAACCGAAGGACACGAGCTAGGCACCGGCGTGCTGGGCCGAGGACAGGGTTTTTACCTGTCGAGCTCGTTGGATGGGAGTAGCCATACGTTCGCACTGACGACACTGTTTCATGGCAGCGACCACGAGGTGGAAGATACAATCAGTTTCTTTGGGGTTCATCGGACGGCGTCGGAGGTATCGCACATCGCCGTGATCGGTGGGACCGGAAAGTATGAGGAGGCTAAAGGGTATGCGACCATTGAGAGTCTGCCTCAGGTGGATGAACACACCACCGATGGTGTGGAAACCATTGTCCACGTTAATATCTACCTCACTGAATCATAGACCATGAAGTTAGTGTGGTGTGAATTACTTGTAGGTTATGGTTGTCCTACTTTCTGCTTAAATTGTCGTACCTTGGAGTGATCTGTGATCAATATCTGTATTTGTATGGTGGATTTTCAAAGTTTATAATATTGGTTTCTTTTTCTATATACAAAATAATTTTCATAATCATATTAATTGTATTATTTTTTTAATTTTAATTTTAATTTTAATTTTAATTGTAATTAACCTTAATCTATACTATATTATAAAACATTTGACAAAAACTCTTAAAAACCATTTTTTATGCATGAAGTACTGTATATTGATGCATATTACTTAAAATTCAAGATTACAAGTAAATTATGCATAAATATACCTTATTAAAGCTTCATGTTTGAATTCGTATGACTAAAAACATCTCCAATCAACCGGCAATTTTAGGGATTTGTCGTTTGTGACCTCTCCAATCGACCGGCAAATGAATTTAGGTTTTGCCAGATCCCTTATTTGAACGGCAAATATGCCGTGGGTTTCTTGAACGGCAAAACTAGGTGGGACCCATTAATTTGTATTAAAAACCATTTTTCATTTAATAATTTAGGGGTTGATTGGGTTATTTTAATGTGGGGTCCACAAATTTGGTTTTTTTTTTAGAGTATGATTGGAGTTAAGTTTTTTTTAGTCTTTATGGGCCCACCATATTTGGTGTTTTTGGTGTTTTTTTTTTTGTGATGAGGTTGGAGTTACTCTAACTGTGGATAAACATAATCAAATAGATGATAAACATTTTATTTTAAAATATAAAAATCTAAAATATAATTAAGATAATTATCGAGTTATAACAAAATAATTAATCATTATTTTTATAAAAAAATTATATCATTAAACCAAATATAAATTACTTCATTATTGAACCTAAATTAAATTATAATAAAAAAAATTGAATTAAAAAATTACACAAAAAATAGGAATTTTAAATAGTTAATTTGATACTAATATCGATATATTTTTGTCAAAATTTTATGATATTTTTAAATTTATATTTTATTCAAAAATAAAAAAAATCATCGTTTTTTTAAAAATCACAGAAGACCATACTATAACATCGACTGAGATAAAAAATAAAATAAAATATTAAAATCAATATGTATCTCGCTACATTGCAAGAGTATCTTTCTAATATTTTTATAATACCAGATATGTCCTAAACTTAATATACCATAATCTCATAAAACCTAATATGACCATCGTCGACCACCTTCGACCATCGTTGATCTGAATCACCGTTGACCACTGCCATCTGAACTACTGCCGACCATCATCATCTGAACCACCGCAGACTACCACCGATCTAAACCACCGCCGATCACCGCCATCTGAACGGAACACCATCGATCTGAACCATTATCGACATCTGAACCACAACGGACCACCATCGATAGGAATCACCGTCAACTACTACCGATCTGAATCACTGCCGGCTACTGCCGATCTGAACCACATCCGACCACCACCACCTAAAGCACCATGGACTACCACCAATTTGAACCACCGTCGACCACCAGCGACTACCACCGATCTGAACCACTCTGACCACCATTTGGACCACCGTGGACCACCATCGATCTGAACCACTCCCGAACATCGCTCTCTGAACCACTACGGACCACCACCCATTTGAAATCACTGGCGACCACCGTTGATTTAGTAACGTCGTTTGACTATAATTATATTTGCGTTGTGTAGGACATTAAAAAAATACATTTTTATTTATCAAGTTACACCATTAGAAATTATTTTTAATATTTACACTTTATACTCTTATAATTATTTATTTAATTTGTTTTATATATCTTACTTTATCGTTTTTCATTGTACACAATTATCATATTAACATATATAAGCGTATTTAACTAAAATACGTTAAAAATAAGTTTTTATTTTAACAAGTTACATTATTAAAATCGTCTCATCGATACCTTCAAAATGAGATCACTATTAAATATCTTTTTATTTACTTGTGGGATCTTAATTATATAAATATAATAAGAGTGTAGAATAAAAATGAAAAAATAGAGAAAACAAAGAAACAAAATTAATATTTATAAAGATATAAAGTGTAAATATTGAAAAAGAAATCATATTACAAATATATAATTTAAAAACTACATATTTTTAATACTTTATTAATTAATAACAATATAAAGTTAAATTAATTTATACAATTATTAAAAAACATGTATCCTTAATACTTAATTAATTAATAATAATATATAATTAATTAATTAAGTTATATAATCTATATCTATATAAAGCAGAATCATGATAGACTGACGTGACATCTTCTTGACGCAAATATCCTATTTTCCTCCTTTTTTTTCTTTTCATATTTTGACTTTTTTATCTCAGTAATTTTGCAAATTAATGTTTACACTTAACTCAAAATCTCTTCCCCTTCTCTTGGTACATTTCAACTTCAATCTTTAAATCCCCCAATCTCTGGGGTTTTTTTTCATTTATGTGTTCTCCATCTCTGTGTATGAGCTTTAAACTACTGGTATGCTCTCCCCTCTTCTTTTCCATCTCTCATCTATAGCAGAAGAGTATACACGAGTTTATCAATATATGTAAAAAGACAATGGAACTTGGATTAAGGAGAAGTCTCCGTTGAGACTGTAGAATTTTGATTATTTTTGTTTTTATGTTTTTTATAGTTTTTAAATTTGTAATTTTGTAAGAAAAAACACCAACAATAAAGTGACATTTTTAGGTATCGCAATCCTAATTTTCTTTTTCTCGAACTTTGTTTTTTTATTGATGTAATTATTATCAAAACATTAAATTAATTAGACTATTCATTTTCGTTGGTTACACCCAATTTTTTTTATTCGTATATCCCATATAACTCTATTTGTCATTTACACAACAATAATTGAAAACACACACACACACACACACACATATATATATATATATATATATATATGTATTCAATATATATAATCAAAATATCTGTAAACTCATTTATATAAATGAAATTACGATCAATGTATGTGTATTTTTATTTACTATATATATCTATAAATTTTGGGGTCCAAATTTACATGTGTTAAGGGTCTTTTATCAACCTGTGTAAAACTATAGCCGAAATTATTTAGATTCAAACCATTAATTGTTTGGTTTTTAGGTTCAAATCATTAATGGTTTAGATTTAGTTTCAGATTGTTAATCGTTTTAGGTTTAACCCATTTTTGTTCTTAACATATATTTTCTATTATCTCTTTTATGCAATGTAATCAAAAGTTTTAGATGTAGCAAGACCTCCAAAAAAATTGAAACGTCCCTGCAATGTAATCATGATGGTTTGATTAGATTATTGTCTTTGAAGGTTTGATCTTCTAAGAATAGAAAGATGGAGGAATGGTTGTGGCCTATAGCCAATATATTCGTGCAAGAAGGCGAATTTTTTAATCAATCCGACCAATCCTACACCGTTCAGAAAGTATGGTTTTGGAATGAAAAATCGAAAAACATCTTGATAACTATTTATATGTATGGTATGTAAATGTAAACCACAAGGGTGGTGCCTGATTGGTTTGAGCTTGACTCCAAAGATCAAAAGTACCAGGAGATCCCAGATTCAAATCCAACGAGAAATAAAAATCCCCTTGTGGCCACGAAGGTTCAAATGCAGTGACTCTGGGCTATCTGCAAAGCAGATGGTTGTCCTGGGATTAGTCAGCTCGCATAGCGGGTTGAATATCCAGGTTAATAAAAAAACAAATAGTAAAAAAACGAGTGTTTGTACAAGTATACCTCCCTGAAAACCAAACTCGCCTATATATTACAGAAAACTCTTTTAAGCAAACCAAACTCGACCTTTATCCACTCTCAATCTAAATAAGTGAACCACAATACGTGTTGCTATACACCCTTAAATTACATTCAAATCAATCTATATAATCACTTCCCGTAACCCGTATAGCGTGACCGATCCCGGTGCACCATGGCTCATCGAAAAGGTGAGCCGTTACAAGCCGTTTCGACACTCATCCCTACTTTTCATGTACGTTTCTTAGAAAAAAGAATGTAATAATCTTCAAATCACGACTAACTCTGTTGCAAGCTTATCGAACAAAAAGGCTTCAATCTCTCCAACGATCGAACCCACTTCGTCCACCAACTCTAACCACGGTTCCTTCCCGACCGCTTTCTCCGATAAGTTGCCGTTGACTTCCTTTTCTTGACCAAGTAGCAAATTCCATAGTTCTTCCTCAACAATATCCCTACTCAAAATGGTAACCATTTTTCTCCTCAAAGGCTTGGAGCAAATCATTAAATCTAATTGTGGTCTAAAAATCTCCGATAGCCCTGAGTTTATACGATCAAACAAGAGCTGTCTATCGGCCTTACTCCACGATTCTTGCTTCCCGTAATTCTTCTCTAATGTTTCAAAGAGCAAGGTGCTCATCATGCATTCCGATCTCACATAATTTACCTCCATTTTGCTGCCAAGAAAACCGGAATCATTCAGCACGTCGACTAGGTAGGAAAATTCTCGACTTCCTTTTGGTCCAAAAGATCTAATGGGCTTCGTGTTTTGACCAACACCGAGAGAAGATCTTTCGGTAGCATCTTCGTCACTTAATGTAACCATTTCGGGTTTAGACTGGTTTTCTTCCGATTCTGACTTGAGAATTTGAAGTTTCATCCACAAACCTACCGTTTTTAACACTTTCGTATTAGATTCTTACACATTATGAAGAAAAATGAGTCATTTTAAATACACTAACCATGAAGATCGGTGCTAACAGCATCACCATCAGAGATTGATGAGTTATCTGGTTCCAGGACTGAATTTGGACTAGGCTGATAAGCTTCACCTGTGCTCTTTGGAAGTCCATCGTCGATATCTATGCAATTGAAAGTCGTAAATCCGTCTTCAAACGATGAATCCTGGACAACACGTAACCATGTATGTTTAGCTTCAATCTGGGGGAAAAGGGAAAGAAGAACCCGAAGAGAAACAGCAATGAAGGAACAACATCCGACAAGAAACGCATAAATTTCGTCTATTTCTTGTGAAAAATGCAACATTTAACTTGACACAAAGTTGCAATCAAATATTCAACTATTTGTCGACACCTTTCGATAAAGACAGATATTTGTGGCCATGGAGTTCACCTGCGTGTGACTCCAGGCCATTCGTGGTCGCCCGGGGGACGACTCCAGACAATTCGTAAGCTGACCAGAAACCCACGGTTACCCAAAAAAGGACAGATATAGGAATCTTGTGAACCAAATCGCATCAGTTAATTCTTGCAACTTTTGTGGGATATAACTTAATTGACAAAAAAAGTCTGTTTTCAGCTAAAATCTTGAAGAACAAGTGGGATTGTTAAGTACCACAACATAACTCGAATCTTTCTATTTCTAATCTTTAAAAAATTCCAGCAAAAGGATCAAGAACAAGCAGCTGTTCATTCTTAAAAATTGACCAAATGACATCATAGAAATAACAGCAAAAGGGGCAAGTATTACCTGTTCGAAAGAAACATCCAACGAACAGGGAAAACATCCTTCTTTTGCAGAATCATTGCAGGCTATCTGCTCAGATATCTGTTTGATCATGGCATCACTAGAAGAAAACTCAACATCCTCAGAGTTTGTAGACAAGTTGTTGTGGTTGTGTCTCCCAGAGCTCGAACTGAAATCACCTTTGGACATTTTCTTCAACTTTGAGTTGGGAATCGAAGAGAAATTAAAGCGTTTCAATAATGGTAGTTTGGTCATAGATTTATCTTTCCAACCATCAGTTTTGCAGATAACAACCTGTGTTCCCAACTTTGATCTCTGTTTGGACTCAAAATCAGGCAAAGATGGTCCTTCGACTAGATTATTAACCCGTCTGCTAGACCAAATTTCTTGACAAATTTTGGTCCTTTTGGATCTTTCAAGAAGCTGCTTCTTAAATTCCCAGGCAAATGTAGTATCAGAATCAAGTAAAAAAGAAGGTTTAGAGCCACGTTTTACATTCCCAATATTCGATCTGGGAACATTTGCAGGCGAACCATTTCTTTCTTCAATACCCTTGCCTAATTTTCCATTCTGCGCGTTGTTTTGATGATCGACAATTGTTGACTTCAAATACTGCTTACCATCAAAAGAATCCCTTTTTTGCTCAACATATCTCAATGAAACATCCTTGCTTGAATCATTTATTGTTGCATTCGCCTTCTTCAATATCTGCCGACTCTTTTGCCTAGATTTACTTGATCTTTTCTGTCGTGAAACTATAGAGGCAGATTTCTGTAGATAATTTTCAGAAAAGACCCTAATGTGTCTATAAACGGGCTGCTGCTTAGACGGCACTTCGTCAAGACCCATCAACTTTGCAATGACACTTGGCTTGTTTTGTTCAGTTGCCATCATCTTCAACAATTTTAAATCTATGCAGACTAGTATCTAACATAGATATGATCAGTACTCATGTTTAACCATCTAAACGGTCATTTTAGCGCGCATAGATACAATTAGAGAAGAGTACAAACCTTAAACTCCTCAAAAAATGGCTGCGAGACCCTCACTTTTTAGAAACTTACCTACAAGTCTACAACATAGATTAATAATCAACAGTATGAAACAGAAACAGAAACAAAAACAACAAACTGATTTCATTCATATCTTAAACAGCTAGAAAATCTTGTCTTCCCCTATCTTTGGAGGTATCCTTTGATTTCATACAAATGACAAACCCAAGAGCCAATGAATACCTAAATTCATGAGCATCAATTTACAAAAACCTATTGATCCTAATCTGAAATATGACCTAAATTACTTGGCAGAAACTGATAAAAAAAAAGGGCAATTTCATTACTGCTGCTAAAAAAGCAAAGACATGGAGAAAACCATCATCATGAGTATCATAATTAAAGAAGAATATCAATACATATGCAGGCAGTAAATAAACCCACATTCATGGTTAATTAAGAAACACAATCATTCAATACCCACTTCACCAAACCAAAAGCGGAATTGAATCACATCAGTTTATTTAACAACTAATCAAAATCACTGATCACATGTTGTTCAAGAACTTTGAGCTGAAATTGAATCAATAAAAACAAACCTTATGTGAGGGATTCGGCTTCTTAATCGAAATTATTAAGAAATGGGTACGTAATCGTCCAAGTTTCTAATATGGTAACCGATCAAATTCGAGAGGATTAATCAAATAACAGAATATTGGAGAAAATCAGCCAAAGATTATTGATTTTTTAGGGTTCTTAAAAGGCGAAGGTTTTCGATTAATCAGAAGATCACTCAAGCCGAAGAAAATGGTATTACGATAAATCAATGGAATTATGAAAAATCAATTAAATTGAATAAACCGGTGGCTGAATTGAATTCAATAGAGAAACGCAATCTAGGGTTTATGGGTTTCAGTTGCATCACTGTACGCGCCCACCAGCATATATAAATACTTAAATAGTATTCTGGTCAACGAGTTGACAAGTTGTTCCGCCATAATTTCACAGGAAATTCCTTGGATTGGGTTTTAGATTTGGAGTTTTCTCGTATGGATGAAGCACGGATTTACCTGCAATTGATTTTATTTTCAAAATACCCCCTACACTAATCCACATGTCATATAATTCCCTTTGTTTTAGAGTAAATTACGGTTTTGATCCCTATATTATAGTGAATATCATGGTTCTTGTCCTTGAACTTCGTTTATTACAAAAGAAACCCTTATATAGTATGTAAATTTTTTTGGTTTTGTTCCCTCCACTAACGCCTTTAAATTTCAACTCTTAGGGGTTGTTTGTTTATTTTTTAATAGTTTTATTAAGAGGCAACCTCATAATCTTTAAGAGGTGAATCTTGTTTGACAAAAAAAAAACATGTCTCTTAATGGTTCCAAAACCCTCTGAATGATTTTGTATCATGAGTTCCCTTTAACCATTAAGCGTCATAATTTCATTGTAAATAATTACCAAACAATTATATTTCATTTTGTACTATATCATGAGAGTCTCTTAATCACTCTGACAACTTAATCATTTTATACCAAATCATTCAACAACTTCCAAACAGCCCGTTAGGTTGTGGTAACTTTTTACTTCTCGTAAGTTGTTCTGTCATAAGAAAACAATATGACAGCAATGACATAATATGACATTGATTACTTTATTTGATTACGTTCTATTTTTGAACCACTACCACCCTTCAAATCACCAATAACCACGATCACAAATCCAAATCCATACACAGATTATAATGATTATAAATTCATTATTTAATTTTCAGAAATTCAAAACACAATCACAAACATTTAAACGTAAACACCTTAAAAACATACGAATATGAATAATATTCTTGTATAAATTTTCTCTAACAATTTATGATACAAAACCTACTACCTGAATTAAATTATGCTGAACATTAGTAGATTAAGCATAATGAAGAAGAAGAAGAAGAAGAAGAAGAAGAAGAAGGTGGAAAATGGGTTTCTCTGTTGGTTTTCCAACTAGGTGGCACAACCCCAAGATAGTCAATATATTTCTCGATCAGTGAGCAATTGCAAATAAACAGTGTTAGAGATATGCTCATAGACACAACAAAATAGTGACACTGTCAATTGCATTGGGTCTATTGGGTCGCACATAAAGTTCAATCCAAATGCAAGAAATAAAGAATTTAATCTATACTACTTTATAAACCAGATTTATCAAAAGTTTTAAAAACAATTTTTAATGCACAAAGTACTATACATTTATGCACAAAGTCTTAAAAACAACTCATAATGCATTAAATACTACTACTTTATGCATTTAGTCTTAAAATCTCTTAATCTACAATTAAAATAACATATAGTGCAAGTTACCAATACACATCATTACCTTTTCTTTTCATGTTCTCAACATACTTTTGACACATTTTACTCATGACTTCACTCTCTCATACCTCTATGTATTCTCCCTATCCCCCAATGTGAGATTCAAACTGATATTCACCATGAGTTATTAAAAGTTCTCTCATTCATCTCTCATTCAATTGTTCTAGAACTCTCACTCTCTTGATTATTTGCTCTTAGTGTAAATCGAACACATTTGTGGAGTTGTTTACATATGTTGGATTTTAAATATGTTAGATTTTAAACTGTCATAATTTTTTTCATCGATAGACTGTAATTGGAACCATAACTCTTATTTATTCAAATTGTATTAATATGTAAAGACCAAATGTAACTTATATCATCGTTAAATCTTCTCTAATAAAACCAGTAAAACTTTAATATCGTTAAAATTCACCGCTTCTACCGCATTGCGCGGATACACAACTAATAAGTAATCAATTAAAAGTGTTAATTAAATTACTAAATGGACTAAGTGGATATTAGTCTGAACTTACTTAGCATGATTAAAAATTGGCCTTGGCCTAACTTATTAGGGTTTAATTGGGATTAATCCTTATTTAAAGAATGTTGATCCCTAAACCTAAGACGAATTCGATATAAAGCCTCCTCCCCCTCCTCTCTACAAATTGGCGCACCACTACCCTCCTAAATAGGGTTTTGGCCGATTTCTACACAACACAGACAAGTGTGTGTTTGGCGATTTCAGACAAAGAAAAGGAGGCGATTTTTTGTTAGCATGATAGTACTTTGGGGTGTGCACGTGATAGAAAGAATTCTGCTACTGGGTTCTTCACATTCATCTGAAGGTCGATCTCTACTCTTTTCTATGTTGCTTTTGTTATCTGGATATTAATTTATAACCAGATCTCTGGAGGATTATGTTTTGTTTTATTTGCTTCCGTTGTCTCGTTTTTTTATCGGAAAACCTTACAATCCATCAGATAGATGTAGAACGAAATAAACTAAATAATCCGAAATTAACTATTTTTCAAATTAAAGAATGATTTATAAATATTAAAAAAATAGAAAATAATAATATAAAGACATAACCGAACACAAAAAAACGAATAACAGGATAAAAGAAGTAACACAAATAATCTGGATATTTGGTTTAGTTTTTTAGAGAAAAGTCCAAAAAAACTCAATGGACTTTAGTGTTTGGAATGATTAAGTCATTGGATAATTTTTTTTGGAATAAATAAGTCATTGGACATTCCAAAACCTATTAAATAACTCACTGGACTTTCTAAAACCTGTTAGATACATTCTTATAACCTATAAAACTGGTTAATATGGTAAAATAATGGAAAAGGTCTGGAAAAAAAGCCAATGGACTTTTATATTTTGAACGATTAAGTCCTTAAATATGTTTTGAACAAAAAAAGTACTTACCTTTATAAAATGAAACAAATATACCATTCTCATTACTCTTCCCAAAAGATACAAAAGCTGTATCTAAAACATAAATAATCTGCATACAAACTTTGAGCATAACTTACCAAAAGTTAAACCAAAATATATACTAAAAATTGTACCAAAAAATACCAACAATTGCGTCAAATATACCAAAAGTTACACAAAAAAAATACCAACAATTGTGCCAAAATATACCTTAAGTTGTGCTAAAATATACCAAAGTAACGCCTAATCTATGTTAAGGTCGTGGCATGAAAAGTTCTTCATTTGCATCATTAATTTATGGTGAAGATACAACTATTTGACTTTCTTGTAACCCTTCTTGATGTCTAACAACATCATCACTTTCATAACTTTCTTCATCACCAACAATAGTATCACATTCATCACGGTCTTCATCATTAACAACAGCCTCACTTGAAATTGAATAAGGTAAGATGCCTTCGGGGCATGCTGGGTGTGACACACCTGATGATGTCTTTAATACGAAGATAAAGTGTAAACAATAGTCATTATGTTATTTGAATCTGAAAAATAAATAACTAGGGTTAAAACCGATCGCTGTGAAGGATCTCAACAATTTGACGACAAGGAATTATGAATCGAATAGGAAATCAAATCAAACCAAACAGAGGGATTAAGACTGGTATGATGGCCTGAATGAACCAAACAGCGGGTGCGATGGCCTGAAATCGAACCAAACAACGGGTGTGATGGTACGATAGTCTGAAATCGAGCCAAACAACGAGATTGATATTGGGTTGAAGAAGGTGGCAACGATGATGGGTTGGGTCGCGGGAGGTGGTGATGGCCGGTGGTGCAGGGCGACGGGTGGACACAAGATGGGCCGATATTAGTTTTTAGGGTTTTTTTTTTCTATTTTGTATTTTTTACCCGCTAAAAAGATTGCTGGTTACCTTAAGGATGTATCTAACAGATTTAATAAACTCTAAGAATTTATTTAACTTGTTTTAGAATGTCTAAAAATTTGTTCATTCCAAAGAGTTATTCAAAAATTTAATCATTTCAAACATAAAAGTACATTAATGGGGTGTTTGGGATTGCTTATTTAACGTGCTTATTGACTTATTCCGTGTGGTACCGGTGATAAACAATTTTTAGTGTTTGGATCAGAAGAAAAAAAACTGCTTATACCGGTGCCAAACCGGTAATAAGCAGTTTTTGATAAGTCAATCCCTCTAGGCCCTAACTTATCAAAATCAACTTATTAACAATTTACCATTTTAACCTTTTTCTAATACTCTTTACCTTTTTATTAATCAGTTTTTGATACCAACCAAACTCTCCTTCCTCAGTCAAGCGACCGACCTAGAAAATCAGAGATCAATTATCGACCGACCAGAAAATCAGAGCCTATGAAATCTCTGAAATCGAACCAGAGAAATCGAACCTATGAAATCTGTGAAATCGAACCAGAGAAATCGAAACTGTGAAATCGAATATATGTAAGAGTGAAGCTGTTTCTCGAGGAGATGAGACATGACCTCTGAATGAAACTGTTTCTCGAGGAGACGGATGTTGTCTTGGATATTTTCGGCACGAGTAGCGACGGTGTCGGAAGAGAGAGCTTCGTAGGAGAATTGTGTGGAGTCGAAATCTGAAGAGAGGAATCTGGAGAAAATAGGGTTGGAGGCAAAGGAATCTAAGAGTGATGAGGATGGAGGGCTGGCAGAGGATGGAGGGCTGGCGGTGATTCTGTGTTTTTGAAGGTGGGAAGACATTGAAGAGATGAACACTGGACCGCCGGCAATGCCATTCTTCTTTGATCGGAGGTAGATTGGAGGAATCCAGTTTGGGACCAAGTTTTATTCAACATAATAGCTCCGACCCTTTTTGGTAATTTTACATTTATAAGCAAAATTTGTCAAACACTAAAGGGGTGTTTGGGATTGTTTATTTTAGGTGTTTTTTGACTTATTTCAGTCTGACACCAGTGATAAGTTAAATGCTAGTGTTTGGATGAGAAAAAATAAAAGTGCCTATACCGGTGCCAAACAGGTAATAAGCAGTTTTTGATAAATTAATCCTTCCCGACTTATGAAAAACTGCTTATTACCAGTTTACCATTCTAACCAT